TTCCCCATGAAGTCAATTCAGAACCCCTTACCCCTGCATGTCCAGACCATGGTGCTGTAGCAAGTGGGGAGGGGGCAAGTGAGGCGAACCCCCCAGGCAGTGTAGTGAAAGGGCACCAACAGCTGAGCCAGGCCAGGGTGTGGGATGGAGCTGCAAGTGGCTCATTTGGGGGTGGGGGGGCTCCTGCCACTGCATGCACTCCCAGGCAAGCTTGGGGATGTGTGCCCCCCAGATGTGTGCATGTGGTGAGGGTAAGCTGCCACTGCGGGCTTTGCCCCAGCTGCCAAACTTTATGATATACTTCCAGACCATGTTCCCTTCTCTCCCTAACCCTGCAGGACAGGGTTGGGACCAAACCTTCCCCTGCACAACTGGATCAGAGTCAGGTTCCCCAACTCTAAGCAGCTGGTTAGGACCCTACCATGTCTACCCCTGGTGCTGGATAGGGACCATTGGCCAGATCTGACCTATGGATAGACTGGGCACTGCCCATCCAGCCCATCATGGGAAAAGGTTGAGTACCACTGACTTACAGTAAAGAACTAACAGTCTTGCTACTGCCCCTGCAAGGATCTGAGGCCTAATCTCATGTGACACAGGGTAAAAAAGTTGTCCAGGAAGTGTGGCATCCCAGGAGACAGTTTGAGTGAGGCAGCTGGCACCACGAAGTTCCTGGTGCCACACTTCATGGACACTCTGTGTTCCCAGGAAGACTCACTTCATGTCACAGATGAACATGAATCTGGAAAAATATTTTTTTCTATGTGTGCCTTCCAGAAACAATATGTAAGTTTTTTTGGAGTCATGCTGTATGTGAGAAATATAGTAATAAATCAACCATATTAAGATGACTGCAAAATGAACATATTACCATATTTACTCAAATCCAAAGCAAAGTTTTTTTCCCCAGTCAACGTGGGGTGGAAAAAGTTTCATTTTGGATTTGAGTACTGGCCTAGGGCAGGCAGTGGCTTAGCTCCAGCCTTGGCCCCAGGCTTGGGCCTGAAGCCAGAGCAGAGCTGCCACCTTCTCTGGACCAGAATGGTTCATTTGGTGGGGGAGGGGACAAGTGGCCAGGGCTAGGGTAGGAGGCCATGGGGTGGGGCAGTGAGCCTGCCACCTGCCCTCCCTACCCCCTACTTCTTGTACCTGCAACTGCCCCCACACCTCCTGCCTCCCCTACCTTCTGCTCCTCCTTACAGCCTGCTGCCAACTCCCTGCCTCCCCCCACACAGCTTTTCCCTCCTGCCCTTACCTCCTGCTCTGGCTCCAGTCCTTCCAGCTCCAACCTGGCCCAGCTGAGAGCTGCCGCCACTCCTCCCTCACTGGGCTGGGGCTGGGCTGGGCCACCATTGCTGCTCACTGCCTTGGAGCTGGATCAGAGCTGCACCAGAAGGTAAGTGGGGGTGAAGCAGGCATGGGGGGTGAAGCATGTCAGGAGGTGGGGGACAAAAGCTGCAGGGGGATAGAGAGGCAGGTGGCAGGAAGTATATGACAGGGGACAGGCATCTGGCCCCTGACTCCCCACAACTGCTTTCCCTGCCACAGCAGTGGAGGGGAGGGAAGAGGCAAATTTAAGAGGACCTCCCACTAATTTTCCATGTATAGAATCTAATTACTGGGTTGGAGGTGGGGTGGTGGTTCTAAGACATCTTGGATTCAAGTAAATATGATATTATTATCAATTATAAGCAAGTGTAAAATCTTCCCCAATATGTTTAGATGTTGACAAAAACAATTTTGGAGCATAGTTTTGTCGGATTTTGCTAAAAGACACATCTAAAATTTAATTTCCTTCAAGTTATAACTGTGACAGCTGCACCTCCATGGGACAAGAAGTTTGGAAAGCCTGAGATGAAGCATGTGAAATAAAGGGATGAAATCATCTCTATCCAAAGGAAATGGCCATGGAACAGTCTTCCAAAGCGAAACAGGCAAATCCAGAGTCTGATTGTTTCTGTTGCCTTTCTACCAAAAGTGACATCCATGATTTGAACACCTTTATTAATATTTCCAAACCCATCCCATCTCCATCCTCTATAAGAAAACTATATCAACTCAGTTTTGACCTTGTAAAGTCAAACTCCATAAAGTTGACTAGGGAACTTACTATTGCCATTGATTTTATACAGAAAGTGCCCAAGTATGGTAACTAGGGCTATGCAAAGCTTTGGTCCCTGATTCAATTCAGCAGAGATTCAGCTCGATTCAATGGCCGAATCTCCAAATCTGAATTGAATCAGGAGACCCCTTAATCTCTCCAAATTGAATCAGAACCCTCCAAATCAATTCAGAGAGATTTGGAAAGATTTGGAGATTCAGACAGACACGGCTTTAAATGTTTGTTCTACATACCTCAAGGTACCAGGCGGCTTGTGAATGCTGCGATGCTGGGGCAGATGGAGCGTCCCACAGGAGCGACGGGGGATCCCCACCATGCTCAGCAGCAGACCTGGAAGTGGACCAGAAGCACTTCTGGTCCACTTCTGGGTCCACTGGGGAATGCAATGGGAGCCCCCCACAATACCCCTCCGGCTCAGTGACTGGTGCTTCCTGGATCTGGCGGGGCCACCAGGGTCCCCCTGCACCCAATCACTGAGCCAGAAGTGTGCAGGGGGGGCCCCCAGCATGCTCCCCGGTGGGCCCAGAAGTACTTCTGGTCCACTTCTGGGTTCGCCACCGAGCACGTGGGGGACCCCCCCACACTCCTGTGAGATGCTCCATTCACCCCAGAATCACAGTGTTCATGAGCTGCACCTGGTACCATGAGGTATGTAGAAAAAATATCTAAAGCTGTGTCTATGTCCAAATCGCTGATTCTCCGAAACAACATCGAACTTCAGATTTGGATTTGGCCGAATCAAATTGGGGACAGTGATCTGAATCAACGAATCAAATCGCTGTCCCCAATTTGGGCTAAATCCGAATCCAAATTGAATATGGCCCATTTAGCACACCCCTAATAACAGGCAGCATTGTAAAACTCTAACAGTATACCTGCACCACAGACTTCCTGTTCCAGGCAGTGGTGGATTCAAACAAGCCACTTTTCAAGCCACGTAGCTATATTTACATTGTACTGAAGACAGGCTAGTTTACACTAGTGAATGACAGCACCACTAAAAGTCTGCCACAGTGCCATGCAAACCCAGCTAGCTTGCTCCTGGTTTGGGAGAAGACACATATGGAGCAGCACCACATGTCTGAGGCTTCTGGGTCTGGAAAGTAGATATGAAATTAATTGGGCGGGTTACTTAAGGATTCAAACGTGTCCAACTCCCCATAGTTTGCAGTGGGAGGCAGTGAGGGACAGCGGTTCAAAGAGACTTTTACAAGCTGTTTACCCATAAGAGCATTCTCTTCTAGCTACAGGATTAGCTAACAAAGGGATAGGCCTGCTAGTCACCAAATCTTCCATAAAACTAGCTGGGTGCAAAGGGTGGACCCGCTGCATTCCTCAGGAACTTCCCAGAAACCTCTCCTAAAGCCAATGAATTCCAGTGACTTCTGTTCATGTGAAGCTGAATTAACAATCATTTCCCTTCTACGGTACTAATTAGAAAAGGTTACGATAAAGACAGAGAACAATAATCCTGCTATGACCTAATCATGGGCACTGTTTGAAATAACCCTTGGAACATTTTTCACATGCAGTCTCATTTATGCCTGCAGGAGTTTATTTCTATGCAAAAGGAGTATTTTCAGGAATAATAATATTCTGAGCTTTAAAATGCAAACCCTAGGTCATTCAAACATTTTCTCTGAAATGAGACTACGATGACATTGTCTTCAAAACAAATGCACAGCACACTCAGCAGCCTCCAAGATAAATAAGGGCAAAATACATTTTGTTCTTGCTGTTTGCATTTCTCTCAACAGTAGGAGTCTTTTTATTTTATAATCATGATTCAGTCTAAAAGCCCTCAAAATGTTTTCATTTCACTAATAAAATACTGTTTAAAATATCAGATTAAAAAGCTTATCAGTGCCTGTCAGGATGCACATATTTTTCATTTAGATGATAAATTCTGTGGAAAAAAGCCTATGTGTACAAAATTAATACTAAGTACTAACTACAAACAGAACCAGCAGCCTTCTGGAAAACATATGGAAACAAATGCAGCAAACGCTTTGTGTGTTTTCCCACCTTTCATAAAGATTTTATAAATCTTAGAAGTAACTAGAACAGAATAACAGATTGCTGTAAGTCATTTTACTTAGTTTATTTATAGCCTTTGGCTTTGTTTGGACTTGCTTTTATTAATATCTTTATTTTACTAAATGGTAGATCTGACCTTTGATTCAATTGGACTCCTCGCACACTTATGGCTAAACATATGCTCAAAGTGCATTGCGGTTCAGTGGCAGCATGCTTACAGGATCAAGCCCTCCAATATCATAGTCAATCATATTAATATCATATAATGGGCTCTTTCCCATGACTGTCAAACAGATACCAGTTATTTGAAATTGCTTAATAGCAGATGTTGTAAAACAGATCCACCAAGACACTAGGCTGAGAGTACATGACTCATTTCTTACAGGCCATGAACCAGCAGTAGCCATTCTGAGTCACCTTTTCTGGATTTGGACCAGTGATTTTGGCTCTCTGTCCCATTACTGGGCCCTCTCTGTCCATATCACATTCTTCATATGAATATTATGACAGTTATTTAGCTAAGGCTCCTGTGAAAGGTGTTTTAATGGAAATTTTTGCAAACCTCTCTAACTGTGGACCTTATCTGAGACCTTCTACACAAGAATTCCTGTAAGCTAGTGTTATAAAGAAAACAAAAATATTCATTCATCTCCACTATGATTTTTTAACAGACTTTTTTAAATAAGCAGAATTCAAATGCTAACATTTTGAATCAAAAACTAAAGATGGAAAGGAGGGTCAAGACTACGATCTCACCGAGATGCCCAAAGTTTGAATGTGCTCAGATAAAAAGTTCTGGTTTTACCCTAAGTCTATTAGTAATATATAAAACTCCTCATACCAAGGTGTGCTGGTCCTTTCACTGTAATTCTCACACTGCGGCTCCCATGCGGTACAGCAATCACAGTTTCTTCCCCTAAAAAAATTCAAGAACTGTTTTAGAAATTATCTTGCACAAGGGAATTATCACATCACATAACAAGATTGAAAACTGTCAGATACATCTCAGCAAATATTTAACAAGTTCCACAATTTTTCTATTAAAAATAATCATATGTTATTTTATTAAGTTCAGTACACCAAATCTGTTTGCTAAGCTATGCAGCTATTAAGACCTCCATATGAACTGGTCTTTCTTGCTATTGAAAAATTATTTTCTATTAACAAAAACAACTAAAATGTCAGCAGCATATTAGGTGCATATTTACCCTTTGTTGTCGTTATTTCCTAATCACTGAATAAACTTAAGAGATCTACTAAGTAGTGCTTCTGCCTTGCAAAAGCCCCCAGCTGTTTAGTTTCATTTTGCCCACACCTCATTTCCTGCAGCAGGTCACAGCTTTAATAAGTGGCAGGATTTACAGGAAATAAATCATCTACAGAACACTAACCCTTAACCAATTATAGACCAGTTAAGAGCAAATTATAATAAGGTCTCCCTGTAACTTACAATATAAGCGCATTCCTTCCAGTCAGTTAAAACTAACCATAAAACAAACCAGCCCTGAATGGGACACCGCAACACAAAACAGCTTTTGCCTGTCTTACAGCCCACCTAACACATGTGCCTCTGTCCATCATGTGCTGCCCCCTCAAAGAAAGGCTCAGTGTACGGAAGGGATCAATAGTCTCCTGGGTGTATATCTCCACATGTCCTGGAGCATGATGATACTATAATGACCCAACAGTACATTGACTGTCCCCTTCCTACACCGATCATGACCAAGCTCAGAGCCTCTTTTGGACAATATCTGCACAAAGAGAACCCCCTGCAAGATCGCATCTATAGGAATTGGACCTATTTTTTTAAAGTATCACAGTAACACCCAGTTTTCTTTTGAGTGGATTACTACATGAGAAAACTATGAAGAAACATATTGACATAGGGGGCAGACAAGCCTAGTCCTTACTTCACTGGAAGTCAATAGGAATTTTGCCATTTATTTCAATATAAGTGGCACTGGGACTAACAAGTTAATCGCATTGTAGCTGAGGCTGATAAGGCTTCCTAGGTCAATCTAGCATTTCCTGACCACTGACTTCCCCCAGGAAACTTTTCTGTTTGCCAGAAGCACTACAAGAAAAAAACACATCCAACAAATTATTCCCACAACCACTAATAGAAAGTAGGAAAAACACATTGCCCATTTTCTTCAGCAAGTAATGCTAGTATTGCCAAATGCCCATATACTAAAGCCTCATATTCAATCACTTTTTTTTTTTTTTTTAAGAGAAACCTATCTTTATATTTTCTGGAGTTCTTTCAAGGGCGTTCAAGAATATATTAGTTACTGATTAACTGATGGTGGGTAATACATCACTTCAGATGTTCTTATGAAATAAATTGAGGAAGAATTTGAGGGTTTCAGTTTTTAACTAAAAATAGTTGAAGGCATTTTTTTTCCACTCTCTTTTATAGTAGATGCTAAATTATCAGCTTCTGGTTTACATCTCCTTAGCATAAGTATGAAATGCTGCCAAATGTTCAGAATACTTCAAGCAAATACTGCAATTATTTTTTCTGAAATAAACACCTTCTTATGTTACAGTTCTTATATCTCCAATTTCTAGGAAGACCATTTAAATATAACAATTTATTTTGGATGTAATAAAATACGATCTTTCCTAATTTCATATTTAGGTATACTACTGGAGTGCAAAATGCTATAGTAAGAACAATAATACAGTGGAGGAGTCCTGGAAAAAACATTAACTACTGAATCAATATCTTTTTACTTCTTGGTTTTTCATCAAATAAATTGCTGTAGATCACCAAATGGTAATGGGCATGTATACCTTTAAAACAAAATGAAACAACTGAATTCAGAAGTACCCTCCAGCATTTGAGATGAGGCAGGTTTGCTGGGAATAGTTTGGCCCTGTTGGAGTCAGCAGTTCTATTGTTCCTTGAAAGCCAAGCAGTTTCCAGCCAGAACACACAATCTCAAGTAAAAGGCCTTATGTAAAAGTCTAGAATACCCTCAATCATTTATTTCAATGGGAGTTGAGGGCCTTCACAGGTTAAGTCCCAAACTGGTATATTTGTAGCATTGTGTGTGACATGAGATTATACTTCCAGCCTTTCAAGATGTACAAGGGCTATTGTGCTATATTTTCCGTACCTCACCACAATTAGTTTAGCTCAATTAGTGAAAAAAGCTCCTGTTTCAAGCTACTTCACATTCCTCCCACCACACCACTGCCATTGGTATGACCCATGCCCTGGGGGAACAGCTTTATTTGTTATAATTCTGTGATAGTACCAACCTTTCCAGATTGCATTTTGCTTCTAACATGGGTGATAATACATGCATAACAACGCACCTAGACCAGACCAGCTGCTGTTGTTGGTCAGAACAACATTTTCAGTTCTCAGAGAACAGTGAGTAGTTCGATAAGGATAAACACACAAGCCTTTGCATGGACTAGGTTCTGGCCTCAAATCTAAGGATTTCAAATATCTCTGGTTCTCACTAGAAACTATATAATAGGTCTGTGCAAAACAGCACCGTTCTGTTTTGCTTTAAGTTTCGAGGTTTGGATGGAACAGCATTTTGTATTGAATTTCATTTAGATTCAAAACAGCTGTTCCGTTTTGCTTTGTCGAAACAGTAAGGCTATTTTGACTGTTTCAATGTTTTGCTAGATCGGAGGGGGATGGGGATGGGAAGTCAGCCCAGCTGGGCTGACTCCTGAGCCCTGCTGGATCTTGAGCCAGGGATGGGAAGTCAGCCCAGCTGGACTGTCTTCCCAACCCCAGCACTATGGTTGAAACATTTCAACTTTCAAAATGTTTCAACTAGCCTTGTTTTGTTTCAAGGCTGTTTTGTTTCATTTTGATTTTGCTGTTTTGACCTCGAAATGAGTTGAAACAGTGTTGAAACAAAGTTGCTGGCAAAATTTTGCACAGCCCTACTCTATAATCCACATGCTCAAATGAACACAAGCCTCACTGTTTTCCAAGTGGTGTACACAGAGGTTTTCAGCTGCACAATTCACATTAAATCAATGGGACTCACACTGTTAAAAGCACAAATGTGCCTATAAAAATTTAAGAGGAAATGGTTACCCTAAAGACCAGTACTTAAGAGATTTAAATGTTTTATTTTATTTTATTTTAATTATTTCAATATCTTTGAAATTTAATAGCTAGCTTTTACCTACAGCTGAAAATCAAGTGAACCAAAAATCATAAACTGAACTTGCAGGATAGCTGGACTACAAAGCCCAACTTTAGGGCAGCACAGCTCACGTTAAAAACTGAGGCGTGTATGAGTATCACTTTATAGTTTTTCTTTCTCTCTCATTCTCTCCCTGGTCCCCCAAATACTTTATTTTACAGACTTTAAGGTCATCTTTTTACTGCTTTTTGTTGTGTTGTAATATTCTCCCTTCTGTCCAGTCACTACCCTCTACATGGAACCGGTTAATTCCCACTACCCAGAACCCCCTCAAAGATTAGTTCCCCTCTCAAAGATGACAAACACACACACATATCATTCAGATGTAGATAACAAATATGGTATCTAGTGATTATCATATTGAATTGCTTCATTTTTGGACTTTGGATTTCAGTGAGAACAGGACCAGGGTCATTCCCACTATCTATGGGCCAGAATGGCCCCCCTCTCTCTCTCTCCTCTTCATCTTATCATCATCTGATAAATATGACATTTGCACTAATTACTGAGGACATTTCAAAGAGTTGGACCAGGCTGTGTAAATATTCAGCATTTTAACAGGAAAATTCTGATGGACATCCAAAATATGCATCAGCCTATGAATGCTTTATCTATATCTAAATAAGAGATGGAGGTGCTGTCTCTCAACGAACAAGATTTGAACAGCTCAGCCGGCAAGTCTGTTTTCCTCTCTATGGTTCTCAAGATTGGCTGGACTTCTTTGTTTAGAACTTTGCTTTTTTAAAAAAAAAAAATAACACGGCCTCCTATGGCATAAAAGTGACAGCAATTACTTCCTGTGAAGACAGATTACAACTGCACAGAATTGTTGATAGGTCAGCCAAATGATGAGCAATATTTATCTAGTCTGGAACCTCAAGTTGTGCATGTTACTGGTCCACAACACCACTTTTGCTTACTACTGTTATTCTTGTCCTTTCTTTTTCTCTTCTACTGTCTGTTTCACTGGCTTGTTGTCTTTTTTCCTTAAAGTAGGAACAAGGGATCATTTTGTCCTATGTATTTGTAGAGCCAAACATTCTAGAATGTCTGATCTTGAACAATGATAATTATAAACTAGATGCATCAGTGAAAGCTAGAACAATTGGGAAGATCTGTGGAAACCCCAAATCTTAATGATAAGGTTTTGGGATCCTGCTTAGAAAAATACTATAACAGACATTATGGGTGCATCTCACAAGTAGGAATGTGCATTTCCCTGTGGACAAACAGCAGCAGCACAATATGTGCTACTACTGCTTGTCCCCAGGAAATGCCTGTGCACATGAGCTCTGGCACGCAGAAAGTTGCATCAGGTGGGGTAGGAGAGGCTAGGGCCAGCACCTGGACTGGTCCCACCAGCCTTAACTGGGGTCCTGAGGGCCTCTGGGGACTGCAGCTGCAGCAGTCCGGCAGCACAGTGCCTGCCTGGCAGCTGGAACATGGCTGTGGTCAGCCAGGTCTCGCTTTCTAGCAGCACACACTGCTGCCATGTGTACCACCCCACTTCTTTAAAGCACAGGGTTTTTTGACACTGGGATCTCTCAGTGTCAAAAAACCCCTTGCACTGCAAATTAGTGGTGCAGGGAATGCCTGCATGTGTGGTGTGTGCAGTATGCAGCACTACAGATGGGTCTGCGGTGCCTCATACTGCACGTCCGTGCTCATCTGGCGATTAACATCTGTGAAGGAGTGTTGCAGAGCACTTAGGTGCCCTGCGCCTGGGAACAGAAAT